CGTTGCTTCGGCAGGGTGCTGTGACTGTAGTCAGCTGGCCAGCTTAATAAAGGCTCTTAAATTTAAATTCTGAGTCGGTGGTCTCTCTCGCTGAGTGAACCCATAACAATGTGTGAACGAAAAACATTTATCAACTGCCTCCAGTACACTCCCTGACCTGGGATCAAACCTGAAACCTAGGTATGTATCCTGACTGGGAATTAATTGCGCAACCTTTTTTGGTGCGTGGGACGACACTCCAACCAACTGAGCCACCCAGCCAGAGTCCAAATGACATTTTTTAAAGTAAACTGAACAAAAAAATCATCAGATTTGTATGAAACGATGCAACACCCTGAATAGCCGAAGCAAACCTGAGAAAAAATAACAAACCCGGAGGTATCACACTCCCTAACTTCAAACTACAAAGCAATGATAATCCAACAGCATATTGGCTGAAAAACAGACACCAGGCCAATAAAACAGATTGAGAGCCCAGATATAAATCCACATGTTTATGGGCAAATAATGTTCTACAAAGGAGCCAAACACATATAATGGAGAAATGAAAGCCTCTTCAATAAATGGTACTGGGAAAACTGGAGAGCCACATGCAAAAAAAACAAAACTAGACTACAGTTTGTCCCCATATACAAAAATTAACTCAAAATGGATCAAAGACCTAAATATAAGAACTGAAACAACAAATTATATAGAAGAATACATAGGTACTAAACATATGGACCTTGCTCTTAGACACGATTTTATGAACCTTGGTCTTAGACAAGATTTTATGACCTCAAAGGCAAGGGAAGATAAAGCAAGCAAAAACAAATGAATGGGACTATATCAAACTAAAAAGCTTCTGCACAGCAAAGGAATCTGCCAACAAAACAAAATGGCAACCTACTGAATGGGAAAAAATATTTGAAGATATTCAGCTCTGAAAAGGGGTTAATATCAAAAAGATATTTTTAAAAAACTCACACAGTCCTAACCAGTTTGGCTCAGTGGATAGAGCTGTCGGCCTGCGGACTCAAGGGTCCCAGGTTCGATTCCGGTCAAGGGCATGTACCTTGGTTGCAGGCACATCCCCAGTGGGGAGTGTGCAGGAGGCAGCTGATCGGTGTTTCTCTCTCATCGATGTTTCTAACTCTCTATCCCTCTCCCTTCCTCTCTGTAAAAAATCAATAAAATATATTTATTTTAAAAAAAACTAACACAACTCAACACCAAACAAACAATCCAATTTAAAAAATGGGCAGAGGACCTGAAAAGACACTTCTCCCAAGAAGACATATTCTAAATATTTTATAAAAAGGCTGGAATATGAAGGAAAAGAGTAGGTGAGAAAGACGAAATGTAAAGGTAAAGAGAGAAAGTGAGGCTTTTATGTTTACTGGTTGGCCCCCAGATAACAATGGTGGGATCCCTCCCTGAGTGGCTCACGTGAGAGACCTCAACCTTCCTGCCACCTGTTGGTCCAAAAATCCTGAGGGCACTTGGCTTGAGGAACCGTCCCACCCTGCAGATGTCACCCGGGTCTAGGACTTGCCACCGTCCTTAGATAAAAATAACTACCTTATTCCTACCCTCAGTGCCAGCTCTGAGGGGGAAGGGGTAGAGGCTCCCCACCCCTCAAGAATCAGATGCAACTGGATCTGTGGAGGGTAACGAGATGTGCACCCCAAACCCTGAGTCCACAGGTCCGGGGTGGACTTCCTAGCTGACTTTCTCCTTGTTCTCCCAGCTAACATCAACACTGGGATGAAAATGTACATTTCTGTACTCCCAAAGTGGTTCCTTTTCTTAAACGAATGCTTCCGATTTAATGCTAATCCTAATAAGCTTCCTTATTTTTATTTGCTCTAAACCTTTTTATTGATTGTTTTATTAGAGATCAGCCTGCACTCCTCCTGGTGAATGGGCTGACACTTAGCCACTGAGCCACACTGGCTGTTTTTTTCTTTTTTTAAATTGAATTTAGAGAGAGAAAGGGAGAGGAATATTGATCGGTATATGCTCCCACCGGGGATAGAACCCACAACCTAGGTATGTAGCCTGACCAGGAATCAAACCCACCACGTTTGACACTCCAACCAGCTGAGCCACTAGCCAGGGCTGCTCCAAGACTTTTAAAGCACATTGTTTTCATCCACAAATCTGCAAATCACATGACAGAACTATAAAAGGGCTCACAGGCTCCTTCCCCTCCCTGTATGGGGGCAGCCAGCCAGGGGCAAGTGGAAACCCGCCTACAGAGGCAGTCGAACTGGGTGCCATGAATATGGATCAGCTGGCCGTGTGTGCAGTCAGCGGTCAGCCCCGGACAGAAAACAACATTCAGGGAGACTGCGTCCCTGTTCTAATATTCTCCTCCAAGACAGCCTGTTCTGACTTGTAAAAAGGATCATTTTCCAAAACCATAATGAGGCCAGTCTACTAGCAGCTTTAACAAGCCTGAAGGCTTAAAACAGCAAAACAATCCCTTCTCCCCCAAAACAAGGCTTCCCCTGTGTCTCGCCAGAGGCCAGGCCGCAGCTAAGGCAAAGTCTAAGGTGTCCACCATTCCCGAATGTGGAGGTACCTGAACACCCCTCCCCCCAAAAAACAGGTCTGTCCCATTTGCCTGATTGTCAGTGCCAACCTGAGACCTCAGGCCTGAGGACGGGGCCTCCCGGGGGAGCCAGCTCAGGCACCACCTGTGACCTGACCTTGCTGGGGCCTGAGGTGGCTCAGCAGACGCTAGGCAAGCACCTGTGAAGGGACCGACTAAGAAATCCCCAAAAGACACCACTAATGACTGAGGACAAGGGGAAACACAAGAGCCTAAGAAACCCCACGCACTGGGATCTGGACTGGGCTTTTTCCAGAAGTCTCTCAAATATTCTTAGTTTTTGGTGTAACCATTTTCTTATATGACCTTGTCCCAAAATAAAGTCAACATCTGTTTCTCGCTTTCCCTCCTTCGTCTCCCCTACCCTTGTTCCTTCCCCATCCCCACCACCCCAAGGTTCACGGAAAATCCATTTTACCATTAAGTAAAGAAAGAAGCATTGATGGTGGATGAAATGGGCAAAAGGATGAAATAAAATGCTTTAGAATTGAGTGTAGGTTTCTCAGTGAAATGTTGAGGACACGATCACCCTCTCTTTATCTCTTTAAAGCCTGGGACCTGCGGCCGGGGCCCACTGGGTCCTGCTGTGAAAAGAGGCCCAGAGAGTGGGAATGACACAGCTACCACGGAGGGCTGCCCAGCTGTCCGCACTCACAGAAGCGGGAAGACCTGGGCCTTGGCTGCGGTCAAGACTCTTCCACACGTGCCGTTCAACAGCCGCCGTTCCAGAGCCACGGTTCAGGAGAAACCAACTCAGGCCTCCGCCGAGGGAGGAAGTGGGGGTGGCGGGTCCCCTCAGTACTCTGACCCAAGATCCTGTGGGATTCCCAACCATTGCCTGCTGGACACAGGGGGCCTGAACAAGGAAAGGATAAGGGAAGCAGGTTCCCTTCCTGCCAGGGGTCAGCAGATGCCCAGAGGCAGGGTCAGGTGAAGCCTGCTCACACCTGCCACCCACAGGAAGTATCCGGTCTGGAGGGCGCGTTGACACACAACACATCAGGCACACACACACCAGGCACACACACACCAGGCACACACACACACCAGGCACACACACACACCAGGCACACACACACCAGGCATACACACACACCACGC